AGCTATTTACCTATCCACCTTGAAAAATTTAAGTCGGAATACATAAAACAATTTCTTTTTTATGTGATTAATGTCAGCAATGCTACAGATGCAGATCCATGAATCTGTGGAAGTATAAGGGGAAGGGAGATGGGGGAGGGGGGGGGGGTCTTTCCATCACACAATCATTTAGGCAGTTTCACAACTCATACCCACCCTAAGAACACTGGGCGCATGCCATTGTTCATATAAGGGGTGCAAAAATCCTGTATTATATAACAAATATATAATAAATACCATTCCTGTATAAAAAGGAAAAATAAATGGAATGGAAATATAATGTTAAATATATATCAAAATAGAAGCTAGGGTAAGACTACTAAAAAATTGATGAGTTTTGTCTTTTCATTACTGATCGTTACACTAGCTGGCATGAACTTATTAGCTAATTTTATATTATTTCAGCTGAATTTATGAAGCTTGGTATGGATATTATTGAACATGCTGAAGAGAAAGTAGATAGTGACATTGAACAGTGTTCAGTTGTAGTTCAAACTGTTTCACGACACACTTCAGAGATTGAAGGTACAGTTTTTATTCGTTCATATCCAAAAAATACTGTTGGGAAAAAATAAAATGAAATAAAAAATAAAATAATTTTCCTACCTACCTACCCTATTTTTTTCAGGCTGGTAGCAGGAAACAAGACTATTATTTTTTTTTGGGCCTCAGTATAGTATCTATGGACAAAATGGAAGGGGAACAAAAATAGTGAATTGCATGGTCTCTTCCTGTCTTGAGATATTTGCAACTCATATTGAAAATACATTACACTATTTAAATCTACTTAAAGTTCTAATTTGAAACTTATAAGTGGAACTCAAATTTGGAACACAAATTGGACCTTCAATTTCAAATCAAGCAAATTTCGTGAAGTGAGCAATACTGTCTTAAAGGAGCATTAAGTTAGAACACAGCATGAAAATGTGGGAGCCCTATAGGATACACATTGTATGTCTGTCTGTCTATCCATCAATACTTTTGTTGTGATGCAATAAATCTGTTTTACCATTAACTATACTTTCAAATTTTGTGCAGAAGTACCTTACTTTTTGAGAAAAACACATGTTTGGCTGAATGATTATTCATCTTGACAGAATGACTGAAACACTTTTCATCATATTTCAAATTTTACACACAAAAAGAGTTGACCATAAAAGGAAGATATCTATGCATTCATTTTGTGATCCATTTGTCCATCTAATTTAGACATGTTTTTCATACAATTATACATAACACCAGCAGTTAATGGAAATCAATATATTACTAAAGATTATTTAATTTATTTTCAGAAAATCCTGCTATTGTTCATGAAGAAGAAAGTCCTTTGCATGGTGTGTCAGGTATAGATATCAAAGTATATATGTACTATTCAAATTACAGTATAAAGTAACTGTGAATTGACTTGCTATATCTATAATTCATTATATCCATAAAATGAATTCGTTAAGATATTTAAAGCAAATTTGCAATACACATAACTTTCCCTGAGGTACAAATTTTCAGATGAATTAAATTTTAGATATGTCATTTCAATGCTCCAAAATCTGAGATCTTAAACAAGAAGCCTATGGGTCACATCGCTAACCTGAGCACTGTGGCTAGGAAACAAAAAATCAGTTCAGTATTGAAAAGCTTAAATGCATAAGTGATCCCAACCTACCCCAAGAGGGGGGATGATTTGAACAAACTCGAATGTACACTATCTAAGGATGATTACATATTTCTTTGATAACTGTTGCTTTTTTCCTATAAGTTTGAACTTTCATTGTGGTCCCACCCTACCTCTGGGGGTCATGATTTGAACAATCTGAATCTACACTACCTGAGGATGCTTCCATATAAAAATTACCAATCATGGCTTTGTTGTTCTTCTTGAGAAGAGGATATTTGAAGATTTTTCCTATATATTCCTATGTAAAACTTTGATCGTCCATTGTGGCCCCACCCTTCCCCTGGGGGTTAAACTTGAATCCCTTTCACCCAAGGATACTTTGCGGTAAGTTTGGTTGAAATTGGCCCAGTGGTTCTGGAGAAGAAGATGAAATTGTGAAAAGTTAATGATGATAATGACAGACAACAGACAAATTTCGATCAGAAAAACTCACTTGAGCCTTCGGCCCAGGTGAACTAAAAAGCTCTATAAAATATGTTATTATATAACTAATAAATAGTGTGATTATAGTCAGAATTATGTGGCCTCCAATATTTACAATGTCTATTATTAAAACTTTTTTTTCAGAACAATCCAGTCAAAATTCAGAGTTTTCTCTGAGTCAGTCATCCCAAGGAACTGTAAGTGACGATTGGAGACCACCCACATACAATCGAGAGAAACTAAACAGGAGTATGGAGATACTGTCGGATGGTAAATTTACACCACTACGTTTCACCCTGAATGCATCATTATGAGATGACATACAGCAGCCTATAAAAGACTACTTGACACAGAAAGCTAATGAAGTTGTTCAGTATGCATTTCAATGCATTGCACCTTGTCAAGAAAATGCTTTAGGGTAAGTCAGGGTAATTTCGACCACTTTTGCCGATCAATGGATTTCAATCCCGAATAAAAGACTTATTTTGTATGTGCTTGTTCGAAATAGATTTAGAGTGTTTAAGATTGACCTTTTCTTCATATTTTTCTGTAGTACGCCTAAAAAATGCAAAAGGAGTAACAAATTGGTGTAAAGAATAGTAAGCATGTTGACCGGGTTAATTTCGACCGGCCTTGGGGTAATTTCGACCGCACTTCGGGGTAATTTCGACCGATGTTGGGGCAATTTCGACCACTTCAAAGCAGAATTAGACCATACAATATCAATTTATGTATAGGCTCTAATTGTGTGTGATTTTTTTGTTTTGTTTTGTTTTTTTTTTTGGTTTAATAATCGTTATTGTTTAAATTCCGTAAAATGGAACAACCCGATTAACCCTCGATAGTGGATCAATCCAAGTCGTAATGCTGTAGGTGCCAGTGACTTCCTATTTAACATGTGTGTCGAGTGACGCAATGAAAAGTGACACGTTTCTCCAAGAGAAGCATCCGTGAGTTACCAGCAAAAGTAAGCTTGGTAAGTGTTACAAGCTGCATTGTGAATGATGTGTAATAATTGATAATTTATCGTTGATAAAATTACTCTTCCATCAATTTGTGGCATTGGAGTCAAAGGTATCGTGTATTTTAAATCAACAATGTCCTTTTTTGAAGAAGTAGAACTAGTAAATTAGTTCACTAAAAAAGGATATCCCGTAAACCTTGTTTGATGATTGTTGAAGTGAATTGTCATCAGCAATCATACATATTTTTTCCGGGAGGGGGGGGGGGCTTATAAACAAGTAAAATGCAATCACATTAATCATGTTAATTAATTGTCATTAATATTTTTTATTATTTTACTAATACATCTAAATTTTAATTTATGAGGTTAAATCTATAAACTAAAAAAAAGCATTGAAAATTAATTGGAAGTTCTTTTCTATCGTACAATATACTGATATATACATGTACCATGTGGATCTCCAATTCTTTGTAACTGGAGAGAGTTAATAAAATGTAGACAAGGTTGAAGGAAAACAAATTAGTTTACTTGGATAATGTCATAAATCCATTTCCATTTCAATTACAAATTATAGGAGATTCTTTTATTATAATTAACACATGAGAGCTATCACAAATGTTTTAAGTATATTTCCTTTTTGAATCCACTTTTATCCTTTTAAAGGAATATTCAAGACTTAATAGGATATATATTCAGAATGTCATATTTCCAACCTACGTAATCACACAGAATGTACAGAACAGTCAATTAACGTAAGAAATATAAAATACTTGGTCACTGTTTTGAAATTTAAGGGTATGAAAACATGATAGAGGATGATGCTTGTTGAGTCCTCTGCATCTTTGATTGCCCATATATTGCTTATACATGTATTACAAGAGTTATTTTGTTTATCCTGCAAAATAGCTTAAATACATTTGACCTCTAAAATGCTATTTCCCACAAAGTCAGGCACACCTCTTTATGCATAGTTGCATGATATATAGTTTGACATCTGAAATACCAATGAATATTAATTAACATTTCCAATTCTTACAATTTTTACCAATAAGAAAAGAGTTGTTTCTGGTGAACTATACATGAAAATCCTTGCTACATCCTAATACCATACTTGAAATCAAAACTTAATTGTAATTTTTTTTTTTAAATGACAGTTGAATATAGCATAATTTGGAACAACTCTTCAGGTAAATAATGTAAATATAAAATTTTTGATTTAATTTTTGAAATTTCATAAGGTACATAAGTACAAAATTTCATGTGCCTCATATGGAATCAGCAAACTTAAATGATTTGTTTGAATTTTTATATTTGCAAGAAGAAGAAAAGATTAAACTTTGATTTTTTTTTCACAAAAGAGTAGGCTGGAAATATTTTTTTATATAGTGTCTTTTTTATATTTTTATAGATACTTTTGAACCTTAAATAAACAACACTGGAGTTGTACTATTTTTCTTCACAACAAACTAATTTCACCAAAGTAGAGTGAAATTAAAATAAATATATTGTCAAAATACTTTTCATTACAGTGAGCTATCTAGACTAACATTTATTTTCTTTAAAACATTTTAAAAATATAACAAAAATTAACAACAACAAGAAGATGTGTTTGTTAAACAACAATGCCCCTGTATGGCATATGTATACTTTGTGGACAGATGGATGGATAGGGCAAAAACTATATGCCCCTAATCATTATGGAGGCATAAAGAAAGAAATGCACTAGAGTATGATGGAATAAGTTACATTGAATGATACTGATAAACATATTTTCAGTTGCACGCAATATTTAACATGTTTTAACAATTTAGTTTGTAATATGAGAGATGGGGAAGTTGCCGGTAGTTATACAATTTTGAATTTATTCTTTTCACTTTTATCCAAAGTAACAATTTTTGTTTAACTTTTCTTTACTTTCATCTGCCTCTCTGCTCTCTGCTTCTCTTTTCTTTCCTTTTCAGCTAATTTCATTCTCTTGCTTTCAATTATCTCTTCACTTGTCAATAGCCGATGTGATGTAAGTGATTTGCTTTTAACATTCTTTGACTTTTTGGATTCTGCAGGAGGAATTGCAAAGATGCTTTCAACTTCTGCATCCCAGGCAGATGGTTGTGGATCTTCCTCTTTGAGGACCAGATTACCATTCCCTAAAGAGGTGAGGAGGGAAAGAACATCAGGCAGAGGAATACCAATGTCAGGAGCATCAGCACCAACCTCAGGATGAATTGCAGCAGCATCTGCTAGGAGAGACAAATTAAGGTCAGAATTGGAGTCTTCTAAAGAAACTGGAGTGCTTGTGGGTATGATAGGCTCTGTCACCAAGGTACAAGATTCCTCAGGTAATGCTGGCAAATCTGAAGAAGAAGGAAATGGGATGGAAGGGGTATCTTGTGGTGTGTCATAAGCAAGAGAAGGAGCAAAGGCACTCTCTGGGATGGCAGATGGATTTGGTGGCCATATTCCCGTTGCCTTGAAACCATTGACAATATTGTCTTTGGTGAAGGCTGCGATCCAGGCTGTGCTAAATACCCTGGGCCATGTTGTCTTGTTGATGACAAGGTCTGGATGCTGAGTCAGCAAGTTGGTACAGGCTTTGTCATAAGCACGAGAAAATGGTCCAAAGACGCACTTATCCAAAGGCTGAAGATGGTGAGATGTGTGGGGAGGCATGGCCAGAATGATGATGTTTTCTCTGACTGCCTCCTGAAGAAGACCCAAGACCTCATGGGAAGAGTGGGAGTCAAGAATCAACAGTTGTGGACGTTTAGGACCAATGTTTTGGAGAAATACCTGTGAAAACCACATCTGTCCCAGGATGTCACACATCCAGGCCCTTTCCTGATAGGTCCATAGAGTGCCAGCTGGAGAGTCCAGCGTGGAAAAACTCTCCAGGCACCGTGGTGTCTTCCCTTTAACAATACACATTGGTGGTAGGACATCACCCACAGCATTGACACAGGCAAGAATGCTAATATTCTCCTTGGAGTTGCCTGTCCTCCCTGGAATGGACCTGGCTCCCTTCCTGGCAACAACAGAGGTTGGGCGGTGTTCAAACTGTTTTCCCGTTTCATCCATGTTCCAGATCACATCAGGAGTAAGGTTGTTGTCGGAAATAAGTACCAGCAGATCAGAAAAATAATTAGAGACAACCACTCTGTTCATCATTCTTGAGCGCATAGTGGACAGAGGCTCCGGCTTCCGTATTGAAATCTCAGGATGCCGTGAATGAAATCCCCTCCACCAATCATCACTGGGGATGTTGTTTTTGAAGACATTCAAGTTAAGAGACTTGCAAAACCTTGAAACCTTCAAAATGAGTTGTTCTTTGGAGATGCCAAAGCCCATTTCAGCAGCTCTTATGCAGGCCTCCACTATCTGATTTTCCACAACCTGCGGAAGTGCAGTTTTTCTGCCTGCCCTGATCCCGTCACCATTGTCAACAACATCGCCATTCACCCTATTCAAAACTGTTGTCTTGGGAACTCCAAAAGTATCACAGGCTTTCCTGTAAGACATCTGGCCTAGTCTAATTGCCTCAACTGCCTTTTCCAAATTTTCCTCAGAGTAATTTTTGTAAATTTTGGGAGTCTTTTTAGGCATTGTTAACTGCAAATTTTATTAGTATTATGTAATATGTTGTGTTATGATATGAGGTCATATTTGCATATCGACCAGTATTTATTTATAATTATTTCATTTATATCTATATATCTATATATACACTAGTTAGTATTTTAAAATATTTTTATTCATATTCTTTACACATTGTTTATCAATTTTTTTTTAGATGTTACATTATTTACAAGTAATATATATTTAATTAATTATATTAGTATGAATTTAAAACAATTTTTTAAAGAATTTATCAAAGATGTCTCAACCCTCTATGAATTATTGATATTTTTAGATGCTGTCTGTGAAAATTTAAGGACATATTCAACATAGTTTGAACTTTATTGTCTTTTTTCCAAGGAGTTGAAGAGTTCCAATACTTAAAGTAACTGTCATGGTTGGAAACCCATGGCTGATTACACTTTGTTCCTCTCTCCTGGATGAGAAACTGTGTGCTACATTTTAATGTCTATATATGCTGTTGTACACTTCTTCTAAAACAAGTTTGGATAAACAATACATCTAAAATATATGTATAGTAATTTTTGTATATTTTTCTTTGAATAATACAAGAATTTTCATCAATTGATATCTTTTCAAAACCCCTGGTAATGCATGCTGATTTTTTGTATACAAACATCTGATGACACTATAATCTTAAATTGAGAATATCAGAATTTAAATAAGATTTTCAAGGATTGTACCAATACTTTGTGAAATGAACAGAGTTTGTACCCTCAAGTGGTAGTCATTACCCCCCCCCCCCCCCCCCCCGATGGCTAAAGGTGAATTAATGATATGTCATGATGTACAGATATTAATAATATTTAATGAACTTTTTGCACGGAATGAGAATAGGATTGTCTTTTTTTTTTCATTTTGTAAGGCCATCAGATCTAAGCAAAATCTGGGTTCTTGGTTGATAGGAGATACTTTTTACAAAAAGTCAGGAAATAATGTGTTCACTGTCTAATGAGAATGTTATCAACAATTCTAAATTTATCTTCAATTTTGGAGAGAAAAAAAAATTCCTCCCTCCTTTGTCTGAGCTTTTCTGATCAAAATATGTATATTATCTGTTGTTGATGTTGTTGTTGGCATAATTGTTGTCATAAACTTTTTACAATTTCATCTTCTCCAGAGCCACTGGGCCAATTTCAACGAAATTTGACACAGGGTATCCTTGGGTAAAGGATTCAACTTTGTTCAAATTAAGGACCACATCCTCTTATAAGGGGGAAATAATTGAGAAATGGTAAAAATCGAGCCATTTAAAAAAAAAATCAGAACTACCCAGACAGACATAATGAAAATTGTGTGAAAGCTTCCTGACATAGTGTAAATTTAAGTTTGTTCAAATCATGACCCCAGGGGCTAGGATGGGGACTGTGGGCGATCAGAGTTTAACAAGGTTATATACTGGATATCTCTTTAAATCTTCTTCTCAAGAACATGTTTATATAGAAGCATCCACAAGTAGTGTATATTAATAATATGACGGAAATCACGGAAAAAAGAATCTGGTAATGAAGAAAAAGAAGGACCATACTTGCTCAGAAGAGCATGGTCCATGGGCCTCTAGTTTAATGGGTTTGTTTTTTTATTATTATTATTATTATTAACAAGCCCCACCTTGCCTGGTCTCTTAGCCATTTTTCCCTTCACATCCAACAGTTTTGTTTACAGAAAATTTATGATTTGTGTACATTTTCTTTTATTGTTACATATAAGAGATATTAAAATTTATCAGGTTGACATTTGTATTCTTTCTTATTTAAACTATGATAGTGAGAGGGTGGAGACAAATCTTAATTTTATTATTCAGGTGCAAACAATACAATATTAATAACAATTGCAAGAAAAACAAGAATTAGTTTCTCAGGAACTGTATAAAAATGAACTTTAAAGGAAGAGTTGCTCAATTTTTTTTTAATTTAAGAGAATTAAAAACTGAGCCGCCCCCTTTTCCAAGTAGAAATAAAGAAAGATAACTCTAATTTACATGTATTAGGAAAATGAAAACGCTGCTAGTCGCAATTTATTTCATTTTTTCCTCCTGAGAAACTAATCCCCCCTTTTAAAAAATTGTCCATAAGAGAACTGATTTTACTGCAGTATTGCTGATGTCTAAGGCACCATAAAACCATCTCAAGACCACAAACAGAGAGCAGACGAGTAAAATTTCAAATGCGTATAACGTATGAAAATATATATAGTTATGTATATATATATATATATGTTTGTACTATTAAATTGCAACATTTAATAAAATATTTCAAGACAAATTTCAAAACGTCAAATTTTTAAATTTGTTCTAAGTTTATGGGCTTGAGGCCTTAGCGCATTCCATCTAAATAAACCAACTTCATGTTTTCAAATTATGTCAAATTGTCATGAAAGTGGATAAAAATAATTCTCAGACGCCACAAATATTCATATTCAAGTAATTTCAAGCCAGTCAACCCGTAATGTATTTTGTTTTTATTTACAAAGCAATCATTCAAGTGTACATTATAGCACAGCATCAGAGATGAAAGTTGGGTAAGATACCTTGAATAATTCCCATATATCTTTGCGTGTTCCTATGCTTCGTATCTTTCATAACATTTACATGGATTTAATTTGATAAATACTGGTTGGAAAATCAGAAGCATGTTTTATGAGCACAGATCAGATAACTTAGATCACTGGAAACTTTATCATATTGCATATAAAAAAGAAATATAACCGAGTTTTCTTTAAAATCTATGCACCCCCCCCCCCCCTTCCACCATCATCACCGAGAGAAAAAAAAACTTTTCGTGAAGAACATGGTTTCGTTTCAAGAATGTTAAAGTTCTCTTGAGTTGTTGTTCTCATATTCTGCATTCGATGTTAAATTTCTGCTCCGGTCCTAAGCAATGCGATGAACTTAATGTTAGGTTTCCAAAGCCACTCATGAATTGTCCGTCCGCCAAACGCATTCGTGGAAGCTAAGAAATTTCAGTAGATTCCTTTTAAATTAATGTATGCTCTTGTCTGTATCTTCCCCTCTATTATTTTGACGGCGTTAGTTTTCGTCAAGTGTTAAGCTATTTCATTACATACATGTACAAACTTCGTTTTTTTTTTTTTTTTTTTTTTTATTTATTTTTTTTACCCCCGAGATGCATTTCTAAGGCCAAATGCTTGATATAGGCTCCCCCGGTAAGAAATGTCTGCATGATCTTGAAAAAAAAGATGTGAAATATCATATGTATATAAAACCGTCCATTTATGTTATGTTTTTAAAAATATTTACAGATCAGTGATGATCGAACGCGATATTGCCTAAAGATAAACCACGCAGACTAACTGGTCGAAATTACCCCGCGTCCCAAAAAATCACCGGGGTAATTTCGACCAAACTAAAGTGGATATTTTTTGTGCTTTCTTTGAAAAATCAAATTCAAAACTGTAAAAATTTGTAACATTAAGGAATGCAAAATGGAAAATAAACTGTTTCAATCTGGTACGTACTGTCAAATGTCGACAGAGATTAAATTTCTTCAAGGACGTTAGAGTTGTCTCTCTTGTAATTTGCTGACGTAAAGTCAAGCGCTCTGGAGACAGGGATTTTAAGCATCAAACAAACGCATGCGATTAAATAATTAAACTATAAAACCAATTTTATATGTATTTTCCTTTTGCTTCCGGATATTTGAAACTTGTTTCAACACTTCTGAAAATTGATGGACCTATTTCAATATGTCCCAGGTAAATCATTTTATTGCATTGCACTGTTGTGGTCGAAATTGAACCGTGGTCGAAATTACCCCGACCTACCCTAATGCATTTGTTAATCAGAAATATTACAAGTCAGAGGAAAAAAGGATAGAAACTGATGCATTAACAGAAGCCTTAATAAAAGCATATAATCAGGCTGATGGACACCAGAGTCAAGTAGAGATACTATCATTATTTGTGAATAACTTCTCAAAAAACTGAACTTTGTAAATTAGTGCCTGGTTTAACAAAGTACAAAATAGATTGTGCCAGAAAATATGCATCAACAAATGGTCCTGGTCAAATTATTAATCAGCCAAAAATTAATAGGATAAGACTTTCCAAATGTCGAATTCAGCATTTTGTTGAGTTTTTGTGCAGTCCTTCAATTTGTCAAGTGGTCGGATATGGTTCAAAGACACTTCATTTATCATCTTGATTACAAATCAAAATTCCAAAAATGATTAGAATGATGATTGCCTCAAGAATTATCCATGCATATGAAATGTTCTGTGAAGACAATGAGATAATGGCACCTTCAAGGGCAACATTGTTCAAGATTATAGAGGTGTGCTCTGCATCGCAGAAAAAGTCTTTGAAAGGACTGGACAGTTATACTGCAGATGGAATGGAAGCAGTGGAGTTGCTACAGAAAATACTGCATAAACTACAAGAAAATGGCCTTTCAAGAGACATAACAAAGAACTTGATAGAAAAGTTATCAGACATGAATCAACATCTTAAATTTGATCTGAAGATGCATGTCACACAATCCAGTTCTTGTATTGACCATTGTTCAACATATGCCCTATCAGATGAGAAAAACTCAGATTTCAAGGAAATTTGTGATCATCATCATACTGAGATCTGCATGAAATGTAGTAGTATTGCAACAGTCATTGATGAAAATTCAAGTTGTATATCAGCAGCAAATTTATTGAGTGACTTGCAGAGAGAATTGGAGCATGATTTTGAATGGTCAAGAAAGAATATACAAGAATGGAAAGCCCATATAACACGAGCTGTAAACCAGGATACCAGTAAATGCAAGATCATAGAAAACTTGAAGAGTAACCAAGCACTGTTGATTATGGATTGGGCCATGAAATTCTTGCCGCAAAGTTTCCGTGAATCACAGCAAAACTGGTTTGGAAAACAGGGCATAAGCTGGCATGTTACATGTGCAATATTCCTTAAACGTCCCAGTGGTAATGCAGACAGTCAGGAAAACAAATTCAGCCTGG